TCCCACGCCTTTCGTTCAAAACGCAGACGTTACCAACCTTCTAATTTTCCCTTTCTGTTAGTTATGACATATGATCATTTCATCATTTTCACACAGCCGGTACATTGGTCCACAATTGAGTTTCACCGCTACTCAGAATCTTGCAAATACCTTCCCAGAATTTTTTCCAAGAAGTTCCCGGATGTAGATGAACGTCCTAGCACGTATATGAGGACCTATAGGTTTTAAACAACAAAAAAAACTCCTTTCGAACCTTATCATTTGGACTTTTTTTTACAATAATGTTTCTTGAGATTCTTTTTTGTGGAGGTCCAGTTTCTGGTGGAAGACGTGAATCCAAATTCTTCAACGAATACATTCCTTTGGCCAACCACCGTTCACCTCTCCTAAAAAAATCTAGCATTCCGATTGGTTTATTTCGGTTACCTACTTATAACTTCTTTCAATGCGGTTGAAAACGGTCGTGTCAAGTACTAATTGGGTTAATTTACAAAAACAGTCCGTCCTTTATTGGGGTGTATAATTGAGCGTGAAAAGCCTAAACTTTATTTAGTAACGTATGGATTTGCTATGCAATCAGATGTGGTTTGGATTCGTTAGTCGGTCAAACCGTAATTGAAGGTGGCGGGGTGGTGCTTTTCGATTTGACCTGAGGCAACAATGCAGGCTACTCGCAATCTTCGATTGTAAAAAGACAAAGGGCGTGAAGCAAAATAATTTATGTATAAATATTATGGCGAAGGCCTCGTAATAGATAGAAGCTTGTATTAAAGATTAAATAGCAGCACACCCTAGAAAGAATTCTGGACATCAAGGTTGCGGATCTGGGTCTAAAGTCGAGGAGAGCGAGGGTTTTCGTACATTTTTTCACTGAAATCTTTCGCCTTGGCCTTCAAGGAAGTAGTTGAAGGTGAGTACTATTCGTGTACCATTCCTTTAGTAGGGTCGATCGTGTGAAACTACTCAGGCCGCTAGCTCGATACTGACTCCCGAGAAGCATAACAACAGCGGAGAGTCTAACTAAACCAACCGCAGCCATCGGACGTTGTACCCGTCACCAGAAGTTATACCTTCCTCCCGTGAGGGGATGGAGTTGCGACGAGCGGTGGGCCGTTTACGATTGACGACCGTCAAGGAACGTGTCTCTCCACGTACACTCGTCTTAGATGGTTATTATACGTTAGTATCTGAGAGTTAATGTATGTGAAGTCGAGAAAATAGACAGAAGATAATTACTTGTTTGTTTCTTCGAGACAACCCTTTGATGAAGAATGGGGGGTTTGTTTGCTCAGTTCTAGAGAGACAAAAGATTAAATGTCGATAATGTCACAACACGTATGGACATCTGCGGTCCCTTGAATTTTCACAAGTCATTGCCAATGGGTTCATAGAACTTCCTTGTTTTCCCAGAACATGTTACCCGTGCACGACGGGTTTGGTGTTCAGGATTTTCCTTTAGTTCCTTTGCAAGGATGGTATCAAGTGATGAAAAGGGAGTTTGGACACTGAGGATCACAAGTCCAACAGTGGTTTGGACTTCTTGTACCTCCCACAAAACCGGTGCCGTCTACGGGGTTCGGCCAGTGTCGTGTCCGGTTCCTGATCTTCTTTCGTTGCGCGCGGCGTGCCTTTCTTTGTTCATGTGCGCACCGCCGCGAGGACAGCTCTAGGGCCCCGGACTGGGGAGTGGGCTGAGCGGCTTGCTCATCGCTGCTGCGCTTAATGTGCGTTCCAGACCTTGCAAAAAGACCTAACAACTGTCTTGAACGACATTAAGGGCTAGACATGAGCAACCTGGTCAGCAGGCCTCCCCAGTCGGGTCTCTAGACTGTCCTCCGGCGCGGTGGAGCCTAACGAAGGAGGCGTAAGCGGCGCTACGTTGAGGACGAAAGAATCGAGGAACCGACGACGAAACCACTGGCCGCCAACCGTTGACGGCACCGTTGTTTGGGGAGGCCAAAAGTCAAAAAACCCAATGTGGACCTTGTTAATCTAGTGTTCAAAAAATCCTGTTTATACTTGATATACCCTTAATGGCTAAAGTAATCCTGACAAAAGAACGTCGACGTTACATGTGGAAAAAAAAGAAGGACAGTTTATGAAATGATCGACTTTTAAAATTAAGACGAGATTCCATAGTGTTGTGATTGGGTGCGATTTTTTTTTCGTCTCTCTAAGCAAAACTGAGAACAAAATTTATCCGGCATTCTCATCAGAAGCGGTGTCGAAATAGAACAAAGTAATGGTACTTCTTGTCTTTTCGAGTCACTTTACAATGGTCTAGTAAATTCTCGTATATAACATCTTGGAGGGGTGTCGGGGAGGACACGTCCTTGAACGTCCGTCAATCCGACGGCCACGTCGTCGCTCACCAGTCCCTACGTGAGGGGTGAACTGTACGGGTAGGGGCAGAACTTCATGCGTCTGTCGTGGCTTATTGCTCTCCGTGTTGTTTTTAGTGCTCTCCGAGTAGGTTGAAGGTTGGTGAGGAGTTCACGTGCGTTACTCGAGGATTATGGTCTCAATTTTGGGTGAGTAGCTCACTACTTACCTTCTTGAAGGGCCAAGCGGAACAGAGTTTCAGTTGAAAAAAGTGTACGAAACCATGTTCTCGCTTTATTACCAAGAACAAATTAGCTAACGTTTTTAGGGTGGTGCTTTATTTATACAGTTCATTGAGGTACAAGTCTTGCCGATTTTATACAAAGGTTAGTTTTGACTGTGAAAGCTTTCACTGGTGTTTGACATCTGAATATGTTGCACGTTAGTGCCGACTTGTTCCCTTAGGTCAAGAAAAATCGAATCCCACCAACTGCAACCTTCCTAAGTTGACACTCATTGCATAACAAAACATCTGGTAGTTCAATTGACCAAAATGCATACCGGACGTAAATAAGTTGTTTAGGCTGTGGCACACAATATGACGAACACCAGTAGGACGGACTTTTTGTATAACCATCGTACTGTTACGACGAACCCGTTTCCGGATGCTTAAAGGCAGGGATGAGTTGGGTACACCGGACAGAAAAACATCGTGAATGCTGAAAGATTTTTTTAGGGTGTGACGTCCGGTGGGCTGAGAAACTGTTAGCGGTTGAGATATTTCGAAGGGTACCGTAGTGTCGACCTCAACGAAACAACTGGACACTCCATATTGAATCTCATAGAAGACATTCATTAAAGAAATCGTAGGGAATTGATGGTCGATAAGGAAGTTTTTGTTCAGAGACGCATAGGTCCCATAGTACGGTGCCTAGCGGACTTCGAAGTTACTGCTGCGAAATATTCTGAAAAATTCTGGAAAGGTATGGTAGACGGGATTTCTTGGTAAGTGCGGTGAAGCTCAAAATTGCCAATGTAACCGCCTGTGTGAAATGGAGTGTACAAGTGATTATAGATACGGACTACAGGAGGGGCATAGAAGGGTGGTAATCCTGGCGTTTGACGTAAAGGGGTATTGCTACAACAAATTGTTGGCCGCATTTGCCTGGAAGCACGCAATAGTTCGTCACTCGCACGCTACAGGACAAGTCTACTGCAGTTTAGGTTGCCCTACGGTATTTATTTGATGTGTCTTAGTGTGATATGTGGATGCGTTACTAATGTAAGTCCGTTTGACATGTTATGTTGGAGAAACCAAAAACATAATGAAGGTATTCACCCAGTTTTTACTGTGCGTACGTAAAAGATGCCTAAAAAGAAAAAAAAGAAGTTTTACAATTCTTTTACAGATTTTAATATTTATCTTCACTTTTGAATTTATATTTTATAAAGATCACACTTAGTTTTATATTATGATTTATAATATGTTCATTAAAAAGAATTGGTTTAACTGTTTTTACCGTATTTTTGTGTATAACAAGATTATGCCCAGGAAAAACTGGGTGAATACCTTCTCACATCCCAGGACAGTGAGCACGTAGATTCCCAATTGTATACATATTCATCAAAACAATATATATCTGTAATCCGCTCCTCTATGATGTGGAGTTTTTTCGGGGGGTACCGTCGTATCACATGCCGACACTTCGCAAAAGCTAGGTCTCGTAACCCCAAAGGGGGAGAGAAGTCTTACGAAAAGTCCTGGACGTCCCTCGGCCGGAACCGACGGAGGTAGTCACGACACCACGGTCAAAGGACCGTTCTCTCTTCAGTCAGAATCCAACTTGTTTGGTCTAGGATGTATAAGGTGACGGAGTCAGGGGTAGTAAAGTCAAAGTACGTACAAAGTGGACTAAACAACGTAACCCCAGGCGGGGAAGAGGGTCGTACTCCTCTGTGTAACTCCACGGGAGGACCCGAAAAAGTGTGTAGTGGACCTTCTGCACTCAGGGGACGCGACTGTGTAACAACTGTAGACGGAGTGGACAGTCACGGTCGAAGTGCGTCGCCCACACCGCGAGTCACCCCATCTATGTCATCTTATCGTGAGGATTTCACTCTATTCTTTCCACATGTCTGATGTTGTTTAACAACCGGCGTAAACGGACCTTCGTGCGTTATCAAGCAGTGAGCGTGCGATGTCCTGTTCAGATGACGTCAAATCCAACGGGATGCCATAAATAAACTACACAGAATCACACTATACACCTACGCAATGATTACATTCAGGCAAACTGTACAATACAACCTCTTTGGTTTTTGTATTACTTCCATAAGTGGGTCAAAAATGACACGCATGCATTTTCTACGGATTTTTCTTTTTTTTCTTCAAAATGTTAAGAAAATGTCTAAAATTATAAATAGAAGTGAAAACTTAAATATAAAATATTTCTAGTGTGAATCAAAATATAATACTAAATATTATACAAGTAATTTTTCTTAACCAAATTGACAAAAATGGCATAAAAACACATATTGTTCTAATACGGGTCCTTTTTGACCCACTTATGGAAGAGTGTAGGGTCCTGTCACTCGTGCATCTAAGGGTTAACATATGTATAAGTAGTTTTGTTATATATAGACATTAGGCGAGGAGATACTACACCTCAAAAAAGCCCCCCATGGCAGCATAGTGTACGGCTGTGAAGCGTTTTCGATCCAGAGCATTGGGGTTTCCCCCTCTCTTCAGAATGCTTTTCAGGACCTGCAGGGAGCCGGCCTTGGCTGCCTCCATCAGTGCTGTGGTGCCAGTTTCCTGGCAAGAGAGAAGTCAGTCTTAGGTTGAACAAACCAGATCCTACATATTCCACTGCCTCAGTCCCCATCATTTCAGTTTCATGCATGTTTCACCTGATTTGTTGCATTGGGGTCCGCCCCTTCTCCCAGCATGAGGAGACACATTGAGGTGCCCTCCTGGGCTTTTTCACACATCACCTGGAAGACGTGAGTCCCCTGCGCTGACACATTGTTGACATCTGCCTCACCTGTCAGTGCCAGCTTCACGCAGCGGGTGTGGCGCTCAGTGGGGTAGATACAGTAGAATAGCACTCCTAAAGTGAGATAAGAAAGGTGTACAGAGGGTAATTAAACTAGAATGATTGTCTCTCAGCCAACCAGTGATGTTGCAGTGCATATCCATGTCTGTCCAAAATGTTTTATTCTCATTGTATTCTCTATTAGACATTTGTGTGAATTCATCATAATTAGCATTTAAATTATTGAGGTACAAAGAGGTCACGGTCGGTCAGTGCGATGTTGACTTTTGACCGGCAAAATGTAATGACTGCATCTTTGAGTCCAAGTGGACGCTTGTGACACATTTGGAGAAATTCTCTCCAGGCGATCCTGAGATATTTTGGATGGAGTAACTAAATAATGTGTTCTTTGGCCACAGCTGAGGTTGTTAAATATATCAGACTTCATTCTGTGAATTGATATGAGTGGAAATGGTCCCGTGATCAGGACATCCTTAGCAACAGTCTGTCAAACGGTATAGCAGACTGCAGAATGTCCGAATTGAACAATGAGGAATAAAGTATTAAACCAACCAGTATTATAAGAAAACATAATGCCTCAGGTCATTGCTGGTGCCATCATGTGGGCATTTAAAGTGAGAGATAGAGGGATTGAGTCAAGAAAAAAGATGTCTGATTGAAAAAAAAGCATCTCAAGGAGAAATCTTTATATCAACATTATCTAAATAAATTGGTCAGAGGTGTCCATTTAGCCGAATAACTGTATAAGCACAAAAACAGGGACATATTTTGTCTTTATCATTGTGTCCTGTTTCTATTGTAACTAGGCTGTTTCAATATAACATTATGATGATAAGTGAGACATTTAGAAAAATCCCAAATGGTGTTGAGTAAATATATGATCATCTAACGATGAACACAAATACAAAGTGCTCTACGATAACCAGAGAATGGTTTCGTAGCGTTACGTGAGTGACATCCTATAGAATGAATAAACACGATAATATAAAGTAATAAACTGGGTAGAACGCGTGACTTAGACTTCGGTCAAATTAGGGACGTAATTTAGGCACATCACATAATAACACACTTTTTGTCAGAAACGGCAGTACAAACGATAGAAATTAAACTTCGACTTCCTCCCGGTATAAGTAAGGTCAAGAGGAGGTAGGGCTTGGAGATAATCCTGGTGAGAGTAATATATTACAGAAGTGACACATATCGAGCGTTCCATAAACAATTACGACCTCGAAGAAGGGATCTATAGGCGGCCTATAAGGTCCTACGACAAGGTACCCAAAACTCGCTACGAGAGGGAGTAATCTTATGGATGAAGGGAACAGTGATCTATCTCCTACAGAAGAGACTTGAAGTCGATAAACCGACATAACATCCCATACGAACTACACCAGGTGTGACCACGATGTAGTCACGACTAGTGTACAAGAGAAATTATGAATTTCTGTATACACATCAGTTTTCTGTCAGCCCGTCGCGTATAATGTGACGAATAGCAACTATTGGACCAAAAATAGGATATTCACTTCGTGTGTGTCTATTATGTGTTTTCTCACTATACAAAATGTAATGAAATATTCATCAGATATTTGCAATCTAACTATTCGAGACCCGGAGAGTGTATTAGACCGATTTCTTGTCTAATAAATCAATTATCTCTTTGGTAAAAATATTACTACAAACAAAAAATGTTCTGTCCTTTTCGTTTCTCACAATAAAAACAAAGAGGAACTCAAATAAGCTAATGTGAAGTTTAGGGAAGTACGGTCCGTAGAAACGCATCCATCGAAGTCATTCCAGGATTAATGTTTTACAAACAATTTTCACAATGCACGACATTCGTATAAGATGGTCCTGGTATTTACATAAGACCGTTTGCTTTTTAGTACAAAAGTTTCACATGAAATAATAGGACTGACAATGAGAAGGCCGTGTGCAAAAAAAAGTGGAATAGAGACTGAAGGAATGTTGAAACATACGAGGGAGGACGTGCGGATCTCCTACCGTGTGAGCGCGACTGATGTAGCTTTTTATCCGGAGGCTGCGGGATACGTAGGCACGTGACGATATGGCTGCGTTCGTCGTGCGCTCGTTGGCTGTTTCTAGATACGAGCTAGACGAAACGTATTCTTGGTCTGTTGCGATTAGACTCTGAGGTTCTCAGTCTCCCTTCCACTCGCTTGAAACTGGATTTATAGCTATGAGTAGGATGAAAAAATGGTAACAAGACAATGTGTTTTGTTGGAGACAAATGTCACAAGAAACGTCATAACGTCTCAACTAATATAAGTCTATGCTCCCCAAACACCACCCAGACTATGTAACCGTCGAGGTAACTGTCATGAAGCGATCTATTTGTTTCCGGTGTATTTGGTTCATCGGTGGATATCTTTCTCTTGTTACTGATCTACACTGTTTCTTATTTATTGAATGCTCTATCCTTCTTCACTTATTGATATCTCTAGTTATTTTTTATATCTATTATAATTCTTCGTTCTCTCTTTCTTTATTTTTGTTATTTTTTTGACTAAGTTATTTTTTCTGGATCTTTATGTGTCTGTCCACGGTCTTATTCTGGTAAGTTAATCAGTTGCATTCATATTACGGAATTAGGCGCTCCGATCGACTTGCGTGGAAGGTGTGTCATAATGTTGTAAGTAAATCGACACGTCACAGCTGACAACGAGTGTCTGCTCCCAAAGGTAGGAGTCATTTGGTAGCCCAAGCGGGGAACAGAATGTTGAGTTACTTGAGTTACCACAGCACAATGTATAGTCTCCCTATTGCCTCGGCCGTGGTTGTGGTTATTCTTCTTAATTTTTTTGCGGGGCCAAGAGACAGCCTGGAAAAAATACATCAACACTATTTATAGGGTTAATTCAGCACATGGCGCGTACTAATGAGCGTTTCCGAGAGAAAGCCTCTTACTCGAAGTCATCCTTCTTTCCAAAAACGACACGAATCACACGTACTTAATTACTAAAGAAATATTTCATAGACAAAGATACACTAACCACACTTGTTTACCCGCGACACTCCTGGCGCCCCATGGTGGATTACATGCTATTGGGTAGTAATTCACGGGCGAGAACACTTGTACGACTTCATTGGACTATATCGGACTGAGGGTCTCCACGGCCAAGCCGGCACAGTTTGAGCGGTCTGTAGGAGTCCGACTCAGATATCCTTCGAAGGAAAGAGTTTGTCCGTTGTCAATTACCTAACAACGGTTTTGTGTGATTCTTGTATAACTGTGTAAATTTTGGTACCCTAAAATGTCGAATTGTGGAAATTAGGACGTTCGATGTTGGACGTTCGATTGCTCGTGGAGCAACAAGTGGCGATGTATGTGTCCTAGAAATGGTCATATGAATCTAGACTTACTGACGACATGTTACGGTTGTAAAATAATATAGAGAAAATTTATAAATTTTTCCAGACGGAGGAAGAGCTAACCTGTCAAGCTCCACACGATGAGATCCTATGTTTATAATGTAAATAGACATCGGTCCTGATTTTGGTTGGTAGCTTTATTTAGATCCATTAAGCGTTATAAATATCAGTTAATTATTTTTTCTTTTAGACGCTAGTTTAAGTCAGAAAAATGAAAACAGAAACTCATAGCGGCAGAAAATAACCGTTTTAATGTGACTATAAACGTCGTTCCCTCAATGTGTCTCCTGAACTGTATTACATATATATAGTAAAATATTTTTCCTGTTAGTTTAGTCGTTCGACAACCAAGATCGGCACTATATAAGGGGCTCGCTCTATGGTGGCCCTCTTACATCATAAAGTGTTGTCAGTACATAAGGAGGCGCAGACCTTTTTGTCATATAGCAAGCCGACTTTTTGTAGCCTGTGTCTTCGTCGCTCTTCATTGCCACGTCTCGACCGCTTTCGAGAAAAACGCGTTCGCAGTGAGGGGGGGGGGGGGTCTATCTGAGTTTGCCGTTTTGATAGTCACACCAAAGGAACCGTAATCCCGTCCCTAAGTCTATTAAACCTCCAAATTTATTCTTACAGATCAGAAATTTCGCGTACGTGCCTACAAAGTTTTAACTTAGTTCTCCAGGCGTTTTTTTGCGATTAGCTGGTAGTCTACCGACTAAACTGAACAGTCAAATATTTTCTATAAATATAGAAGGCAAGCTTTGTTGAATGCTTTCGTATTTTTAACCTTTGTAAATTCTAATAAAGCTGAGGCCCCCAGATATTACATAGACCTCCTCACCTACTCGCACGGATAGAGGTCTTTTTTTCTGATTTATGCTGTACGTCTCGATGCACTTCTCGTCGCATCTGTTGCCTTTTCATCGTGGTAAGTTTTTGAAGCTACCCCGGAAACTTTTTCGTCTCTTTAATCTGCAATCTACCGTTTCACGCTTTCGAGGAGGTCTCGATGACCTTCGGGTAGAGCCCCTGGCCTCTTCCACCTCGTTATAAGTGTCGTGCGTGGTTCGTTGTGCGAAGCTGTTGAGTGGATATGTTCACTGTGCATTCGGTACGATTGACTACGCCTGCAACAAAGTCACCATCGTGTTATTTTCGTGTATGTGTTAATTACTTTATTTGTGGTTTCTTACCTATTGCGGAGACAGTTTATCAAGAGACGACAATCACAGAAACAACGTATCGTTGGGACGTGATACTACACACTCCTTCCGTTGCCTCCCTAAAATAAACTTATAATAAGATTATTTTTGAATAAATTTAATCTCACACGAAAAAAAGAAAGTATAACGGTGGAACCATTCGGAGGCGAAGCGTACAGCCGGCTTGTGCGGGGAATACATATTTCGTATATGTGCCGACAGGCACTCTAACGAATTTATTATAATCTATATATATAAATATTATATATTATATATATATATGGGTAAATATAGGGGAAATCCNTTATTATTTATGTTTTTCTTTTTTTTCCTGGCTTAGTTTCAATCAAAATATAGACTAATGCTAATAATAGTAATAGTATTAATAATTGTAAATGGCCATTGGTCACACCACCAGTTTGTTTTACTGTAAACTTGGAGGAAGCCAGCAGCGCAGGCGAA